GCAGAATAGTGGAAATCTTATAAAAATTGTGCACATTATTCATATACTATTCACATTTATTGTGAGTAATATATAGAATAATACCAAGGTCAAACAGTAACCACGTTCAAGTAATAAAAGCCCCCTCCCTATTTTGGAATGGCCTGGTGATTATCTAAAATTCATTCATTTTGTTTATTAATGTTTTTGTTTTCCACAGGTTTTTGACATTTAATTGTAGGCTAGTTATAAAATTTTAAAGTTTTATATTTTGTTTAAAAATAATATTTTAACATGTAAATATTTGATTATAACAAAATTTCTACTAAATAATTAATGTAAAAATAATTGTCATAAAATTTTTAATACAATTTCAAACATATTTTTCTCCCAAATGAATGCTTTTGTGTTGAATTAAATTGCGTTTATCTGTAATATACCATTCATTTGCAGAACAACATGGAGTGGTAGTCCCTTATCTAACTCGTAACCCGACATCCAATTGACCATGATCATTGGTGTCTATTACAACCCCCGCAGAAATGTATTTCAATCCATTTGGTGGCCAACTCTGGTTTGTACGGTTTTCATAACAAAAACTCCTCGACTTAATTAAAATTAGAGTTTGTCATCAGTTTTACTATTAATTTAAGAAACAAATTAATTATTATTTATATCATTAAAATAGCGTTTGGACTTGAAACTTCAACTTAAACTAGAAATATATTTTGATTTGTTAAAAATTAATTTTCATTTTTAAATAATATTGATTGTATACTTTTGATTGGAAATAAAATTTTTATATTTTATTCATTTATACAGTTATTTGAATTACAGTTGAAGTTATACTTATTCGTAAAACAAATCAAATGATTATATTTGTTTAGTAAAATATGAATGAAATATTATTTACAACAAAAATTATTCAATATACTGTATTAAAGTGAAATATTTTATTATATCTAAATTTATTTTTCTTTCAAATGAACTTCTTTTTTGTGTCGATATAAATGTGATTTTCGTGCAAAACAATTGATGCAATTATTAAAATCACATTTAAATGGTTTTACTCCCGAATGTATGCGTTTGTGACGAATTAGATGTGATTTTTGAACAAAACTTTTGCCACAATTTTCTTCATTACATTTGAATAACTTTTCATTGAAATGAACACAACTTTTGTGTTGAAATAAGTTATGTTTTGTTGTAAACCTTTGGTTACAATCATTAAAATCACAAACAAATCCTTTGTTCAAATGGACGGCATTTTTGTGTTCAATTAAATGTGATTTTCGTGTATAACTTTTGTGACAATTATTGAAATCACATTCAAATGGTTTTTCTCCCGAATGTATGCGTTTGTGACGAATTAGATCTAATTTTCGACCAAAACTTTTGCCACAATTTCCTTCATTACATTTGAATGGCTTTTCATTCAAATGAATACAACTTTTATGTGATATTAAATATTGTTTTGTTGTAAAACTTTTGTTGCATTCTTTGAAATCACAAACAAATCTTTTGTTCAAATGGACGATATTTTTGTGTTCAATTAATTTTGATTTTCGTTTATAACTTTTAGTACAATCATTGAAATCACATTTAAATTGTCTTATATTTGTATGAATTAATTGATGTCGAGTTAAAACACTTTTGAATTGAGTCTTAAAGTGACAATCAGTCCAAAGACACTGAAAATTCTCATTATTATTATTAAATGCCTCCAAATTAGCACTAATTTTGAATTGTTTGCAATCAATAATAGTTTTATTTAATGATTGATTGTTTTCACACAAAACACTATAATTTGTATTCAAAATACATTGCATTTTGTCTATCGTTTCGCAGAAAACCTTCATTTCATTGAATTTATTCCTCATTTGATTGAAACCCAAGTCTTCTATCACTTGAGCCCACGCGGCTGATCCCTGTCTAAGTATGAGTTTCATTTCATTGAATTTATTCCTCATTTGATTGAAACCCAAGTCTTCTATCACTTGAGCCCACGTTTGGCTGTCGTTGTCTTCGGTGGCCATCACTTCATCGACTCGGAGATTGTGTCCACACATGTGTCCACACAAACTGACAGCACTTCCACTTCACCACTCATTCAAGTATTGAATCCCCGAAACTGTCCGTCACTTCAATTAAACACAAATCAATTAAAACTTCACTAAAATAACTGAAATCACTTCAAACTAAAGACAAAATGAAAAATTTTGCCGCAATTTATAGACAAAAGGTATGAAAGCATTGTTTTGAACACAAAATATGAAGAGAGAGTCATCTGTCGCTCACTATTATAACTATTATAAGTTTGCTGTCATATCAACCAACTCTTTACTGTACCAACTTTACAATAATTTAGTATATTTTTTACAATTAATTTAATCGGTTGTGCTATTAAATAAATAAAATGTAACTAAATTTTATAGAAATTTTCAATAAATAACAGTAAATATCTAAATATTTTTAATTTATATTACTTTGCATTATTGATAATAAAATATATCAATAGAAACTAAATTAAAAAGTAATTTTATCACAAATATATATAAACTAAAATTAAGTAGTTGAATTAGTTTTAATAATTTGTAATATCCAGTCGACAATATTCGAGGTGGAAACATAAAAGCTCATACTTAGACAGGGATCAGCCGCGTGTGGCCCACGTCTCACATGTGTGCCCACAAGTATAGCTTTGGTCCGGTATTTGTCGGTATACTGAACCACAGGTGAGCCCTCGTCGCCCTTCAAATCACATACAATTAGATTTAGATTTAAATTGCAGTTTAAGGCAAATACAGGGCACTCACTATACAGGGTATGGATATGTTATGGCCCACGGAGTTAGAGGAGCACAGAAGTGTATCATTGGTTAATGGGTTACAGGTTTGTCGCGATAGTAGATAAATATCACCATGGTGCAAATAATCGTTGGCAGTGCTCCGGCTATCAGTAAAACCATAGCCAAAGAGTGTGACCCACTCGGGCCGGTCCAGCACTTGACCCAAATCGGGCAGACATACGGTGTTGACCAGCATTTGTCGGCCGATGTTATGACTTAGCATATTATTCTTGAGCCGAACCAAAGCCACGCCTGACTTAACAACTATACCGTTCACTGCAACCAATCGCTCGCTTTTACGCCGATATCTGGCCGACACCGATGTCTTCCTTGTGTTGCCCTTATGTACGCTATATTGCGGTTACAATTAATAACTATTATTACTGATAATTGGTTTAAATATTTAAAATTATAATATGAAATTAAATTTATTATATTTTTAGTGTTGTTTTAAATATCATATTTAAAAATATGATTACTTTCTGAAACAATCGGCGGCCGTTAAAACCCATTTGGTTGTAATCAATACACCGGAGCAATAAGTAATGATGGATTTGGTCTTTTTCCAACTGACCCTGCTGCCCGCATCGGGATTAGGCCAACTGTCAACAATCTTCACACTAACTGCCCATGGTCCTTCGCCATAGTTTTGATGCCAACCGCCCGTCAAACGAGTGGCGGACAGATGTGGGTAATCGTAGTGACCGTTTACATCGTGTAATTTTCTCGGACTATAGTTATTGTGAAAGCAATTGGTTTTATATGTTATAAACATTACTTCCGTTGAGAATCTGTATCCACACGAGTTTTCATTTACACCAAATTTAGTATAATTAGGATATTTATTGCCAATAATATTGTATACTTTCGATTGGAAATTAAATGCTTATTTTATTTATTACTTATTAATATTTTAATTATTAAGTTACTTATTACTTTAACAATTATTTAAATTACAGTTAAAGTTATGTTTACAAGTAAAACAAATTAAATTATTATATAAATGTTTAGTAAAATATGAATGAAATATTAATTACAACAATAATTACTCAATATGTGATTGAAGTGAAATATTTTATCAAACATTTTCATTATATCTAAAATTATTTTTCTTTCAAATGAACTCCTCTTTTGTGTCGATATAAATGTGATATTTGTGTAAAACATTTGATACAATCATTAAAATCACATTTATATGGTTTTTCTCCCGAATGTATGCGTTTGTGACAAATTAGATATGGTTTTCGACTAAAATATTTGCCACAATTTTTTTCATTACATTTGAATAACTTTTTATTTAAATGAACGCAATTTTTGTGTTCAATTAATTGTGATTTTTGTGCAAAACATTTGCCGCAATCATTAAAATCACATTTATATAGTTTTTCTCCCGAATGAATGCGTTTGTGACGAATTAGATGTGATTTTTGACCAAAACTTTTGCCACAATTTTCTTCAGTGCATTTGAATAACTTTTCATTCAAATGAACGCAACTTTTGTGTTGAAATAAGTTATGTTTTGTTGTAAACCTTTTGCCACAATTTTTTTCGTTACATATAAATGGCTTTTTATTTAAATGAACGCAATTTTTGTGTTCAATTAATTGTGATTTATGTGTAAACCCTTTGTGGCAATTATTTAAATCACATTCAAATGGGTTTTCTCCCGAATGTATGCGTTTGTGACGAATTAGATCTGATATTCCATCAAAACTTTTGCCACAATTTTCTTCATTATATTTATAATCCTTTTCATTCAAATGAACACAACTTTTGTGTTGAAATAAAGTTTGTTTTGTTGTAAAACTTTTGTTGCAATCTTTGAAATCACAAACAAATCTTTTGTTCAAATGGACGGCATTTTTGTGTTTAATTAATTGTGATTTCCATTTATAACTTTTAGTACAATCATTAAAATCACATTTAAATTGTCTAATATTTGTATGAATTATTTGATGTTGAATTAAAACACTTTTGAATTGAGTCTTAAAGTGACAATCAGTCCGAAGACACCGAAACTTATCATTATTTTTATTAATTGTTTTGTTAATTGCCATCAAATTAACACTGATTTTAATTGGTTTGCAATCAATAATAGTTTTATTTAATGATTGAATGTTTTCACACAAATCACTACTATTTGTATCCAAAATACATTGCATTTTATCTATCGTTTCGCTAAAAATCTTCATTTCATTCAATTTAGTAATCATTTCAATGCAATCCATGTCTTTGTGTGTGATTTGATTGATTTGATGCCACGTTTGGCTGTCGTTGTCTTCGGTGGCCATCACTTCATCCACTCGTCGATTGTGTCCACACTTTCTGAGACCACTTCACCACTCATTCAAGTATTGAATCCCCGAAACTGTCCGTCACTTCAATTAAACACAAATCAATTAAAACTTAACAAAAATAACTGAAAAACACTTCAAATTAAAGACAAAACGAAAACTTTTGCCACAATTTATAGACAAAAGGTTTGAAAGCATTGTTTTGAACACAAAATGTGTTGGAATTTATAGAGGAGAGAGTCATCTGTCGCTCACTATTATAATTATAATAAATTTGCTGTCATATCAACCAACCCTTAACTTTACAATAATTTAGTATATTTTTTACAATTAATTTAATCGATTGTGTTATTAAATAAATAAAATGTAACAAAATTTTATAGAAATTTTCAATAAATAACAGTAAATATCTAAATATTTTTAATTTATATTACTTTGCATTATTAATAAAATATCAATCAATAGAAACTAAATTATAAGTAATTTTTATCACAAGTTTATATATAAACTACAATTAAGTAGTTGAATTAGTTTTAATAATTTGTAATATCCAGTCGACAATACTCGAGGTGGAAACATAAAAGCTCATACTTTGACACGGATCATCCGCGTGTGGCCCACGTCTCACATGTGTGCCCACAAGTATAGCTTTGGTCCGGTATTTGTCGGTATACTGAACCACAGGTGAGCCCTCGTCGCCCTTCAAATCACATACAATTAGATTTAGATTTAAATTGCAGTTTAAGGCAAATACAGGGCACTCACTATACAGGGTATGGATATGTTATGGCCCACGGAGTTAGAGGAGCACAGAAGTGTATCATTGGTTAATGGGTTACATGTATTTCGCGATAGTAAATAAATATCACCATGGTGTAAATAATCGTTGGCAGTGCTCCGGCTATCAGTAAAACCATAGCCAAACAGTGTGGCCCACTCGGGCCGGTCCAGCACTTGACCCAAATCGGGCAGACATACGGTGTTGACCAGCATTTGTCGGCCGACGTTATGGCTTAGCATATTCTTCTTGAGCCGAACTAAAGCCACGCCTGACTTAACAACTATACCGTTCACTGCAACCAATCGCTCGCTTTTACGCCGATATCCGGCCGACACCGATGTCTTCCTTGTGTTGCCCTTATGTACGCTGTATTGCGGTTACAATAAATAACTATTATTACTGACAATTGGTTTAAATATGTAAAATTATAATATGAAATTAAATTAATTATATTTTTAGTGTTGTTTTAAATATAAAATTTAAAAATATGATTACTTTCTGAAACAATCGGCGGCCGTTAAAACCCATTTTGTTGTAATCAATACACCCGAGCAATAAGTAATGATGGATTTGGTCTTTTTCCAACTGACCCTGCTGCCCGCATCGGGATTAGGCCAACTGTCAACAATCTTCACACTAACTGCCCATGGTCCTTCGCCATAGTTCTGATGCCAACCGCCCGTTAACCGACTGGTGGACAACAGATGTGGGTAATCGTATTGACCGTTTACATCGTGTAATTTTCTCGGACTATAGTTATTGCGAAAGCAATTGGTTTTATATGTTGTAAACATTACTTCCGTTGAGAATCTGTATCCACACGAGTCTTCATTTACGCCAAATTTAGTATAATTAGGATATTTACCGATCGATACAAATAGACAATTAGTTTGCACTAAAAGTAAACGTAAATTTAAATTTTCTAATCATTTTGTGTAATTAATTTCGAAAAACAAATTATAACTCACACAATATTGATAACAACACAAATATTAATTTGATATTTATAACTAATTTAGACATTTGTACGAAAACACAATACAATAGTATTTAATATAAAGACTAAATTTTATAAATGTCTGAATCAATAACAAAATTTGCAAAAATATAATTAAATTTAAATTAGAATATATGTCAAATCTCAACAGAATTATTAAATCACATGAAAAACAATAAAAACATTTAAAATATCAACTTAATTGTTTATCAAGTGTAAAAGACTAACAGTTTAATGAATTGCTTAATGAATTGTTGTATTAATTTTTCAATATCTATTTTGTAGCTTGATATTATTTCAATGGACAGTTAATTTGTAAAGTAACTTTAAAATAAATGACATTATTGATATATACTTTATATCCAAACAATTCATTCAATGCTTAAATATATTTATTTCAAATTATAAACTACATTAAATAAAATACAATAATTTAAAATATTTTGATTAGCATTATTTTTTTATTAAATTAATAAATTAAAGTGCATGGTTATTTGTAATTAAGCTTGACCATGGTTGTTGAGATNTTCCCAGCCAACATAGTTGAGGTCAATTTGGGAACCATAACGTCTGGCAGATGTGCCGGAGATTTCCTATACGTGCAGACAATGTATACAAATGACATTCCCTTAGCCTGTGTTGACTATTCCCTCTCATCTCTACGTGTGTCCCAAATGAGTGTCTCAATCACTGGTGCCAACTGCCCGACCACGTGCTCACTCGACTCGGCCACCGATATGACCATTACCACCCATCTCAACAACCATGGTCAAGCTTAATTACAAATAACCATGCACTTTAATTTATTAATTTAATAAAAAAATAATGCTAATCAAAATATTTTAAATTATTGTATTTTATTTAATGTAGTTTATAATTTGAAATAAATATATTTAAGCATTGAATGAATTGTTTGGATATAAAGTATATATCAATAATGTCATTTATTTTAAAGTTACTTTACAAATTAACTGTCCATTGAAATAATATCAAGCTACAAAATAGATATTGAAAAATTAATACAACAATTCATTAAGCAATTCATTAAACTGTTAGTCTTTTACACTTGATAAACAATTAAGTTGATATTTTAAATGTTTTTATTGTTTTTCATGTGATTTAATAATTCTGTTGAGATTTGACATATATTCTAATTTAAATTTAATTATATTTTTGCAAATTTTGTTATTGATTCAGACATTTATAAAATTTAGTCTTTATATTAAATACTATTGTATTGTGTTTTCGTACAAATGTCTAAATTAGTTATAAATATCAAATTAATATTTGTGTTGTTATCAATATTGTGTGAGTTATAATTTGTTTTTCGAAATTAATTACACAAAATGATTAGAAAATTTAAATTTACGTTTACTTTTAGTGCAAACTAATTGTCTATTTGTATCGATCGGTAAATATCCTAATTATACTAAATTTGGCGTAAATGAAGACTCGTGTGGATACAGATTCTCAACGGAAGTAATGTTTACAACATATAAAACCAATTGCTTTCGCAATAACTATAGTCCGAGAAAATTACACGATGTAAACGGTCAATACGATTACCCACATCTGTTGTCCACCAGTCGGTTAACGGGCGGTTGGCATCAGAACTATGGCGAAGGACCATGGGCAGTTAGTGTGAAGATTGTTGACAGTTGGCCTAATCCCGATGCGGGCAGCAGGGTCAGTTGGAAAAAGACCAAATCCATCATTACTTATTGCTCGGGTGTATTGATTACAACAAAATGGGTTTTAACGGCCGCCGATTGTTTCAGAAAGTAATCATATTTTTAAATTTTATATTTAAAACAACACTAAAAATATAATTAATTTAATTTCATATTATAATTTTACATATTTAAACCAATTGTCAGTAATAATAGTTATTTATTGTAACCGCAATACAGCGTACATAAGGGCAACACAAGGAAGACATCGGTGTCGGCCGGATATCGGCGTAAAAGCGAGCGATTGGTTGCAGTGAACGGTATAGTTGTTAAGTCAGGCGTGGCTTTAGTTCGGCTCAAGAAGAATATGCTAAGCCATAACGTCGGCCGACAAATGCTGGTCAACACCGTATGTCTGCCCGATTTGGGTCAAGTGCTGGACCGGCCCGAGTGGGCCACACTGTTTGGCTATGGTTTTACTGATAGCCGGAGCACTGCCAACGATTATTTACACCATGGTGATATTTATTTACTATCGCGAAATACATGTAACCCATTAACCAATGATACACTTCTGTGCTCCTCTAACTCCGTGGGCCATAACATATCCATACCCTGTATAGTGAGTGCCCTGTATTTGCCTTAAACTGCAATTTAAATCTAAATCTAATTGT